GCTCCCTGGGTGGTGCTTCCTGACAGTGCCGCTGTTCCCTCTCCTCACAGGTACCTCATCAACTTCCTCCTGGATGCCACCGTGGGCATGCTGCTCATCTACGTGGGCGTGCGTGCCGTCAGCGTCTTGGTGGAGTGGCAGCAGTGGGAGTCTCTGCGTTTTGGCGAATATGGTAACATACTATGGACACTGGACCGGGGCATGAAGGGGGGCTTCCTAGTGGGGGCTCTGCGCCTTGCCCCATACAGCCCTCCAGGCCAGTGGATTTGGAGAGGCTTCAGGAGCTGGCGGCTGTCTCTGCTGCGGTGGAAGTTCTGCCGGTGTCGGAGTGCCCATGTCTGTGGCATGTGGGTACTCGCTTCGCGGCTTAGGCTCCCTCTTTGGTGGCAGGATCCAGGAGACACCCTAGATGCAGGGAGGGGTACAACATTTGCCTCTTCCACTAGAGGGCACTGGTGGCCTCACCTACAGAGCCATAAGGCCCCCTCACTCTGCCAAGCTGCCCACCGAGCTCACACCACCTGCCTACTTCATTAGAGAGATGCGGGTGGCTCTTGGTTTGGGAGGTTCTCAGTAGGGAGCTGCTCCTCTTTCTCCTGCATGTCTGTGCTTGTCCTATCATCGGGCTTTTCCACTACTGGGGCTCGCAAGGTCAGGACTGGAGGGCCTGTCCCCACCGGGACCAAGTTGCCTTGCCATCTCCTGACTATGGGCTGGCCCCATTACCCAGCATCTGGCACATACAGTCACCAAGGACACCAACTCCATCCTCACTCACAGAGACACAGCTTAAAACAGGTGACCTGTGGATACCGGCCTGGCTTTGACTCCCCGACCCCCCCACTCACATCCTCGTTAGACCCCATGGGATACCGCTTGGTAGGAAGCTGCCTCCATGCTGGTTTCGAGCACAGATGCAGTGCCTTTTACTCTGTACTCTCCTCAAAGATGGCTGGATGTGGTCTTAACAGGGCTGCTGAGGAGAGGTGCCTCCTTCAGGCCTTGCTCCACGCCCGGGGATTTAGGACCCAGGGCTAACGGATAGCAGCAGCTCTCTCCCACCTTCACAGCTGGCCCTGCGATCGGGAGGCAGGAGCTCCTGTTCTTAGTGGGAACAGCAGGACTGGAACCTTAGCCATGAAAGGAGCACACGGGGAAAGAGGGAGGGGATCTGGGTGGCATTCTGGATCCCCGCTCTCCTTTCCTGGCTGCGAGGGCTGCTCACTGCTACATGACTGAAGACTCACGGGAACTGGCATTTAAAAGGGGACCCTATTCGTGGAGTTGGCTGTGAGTGCCTGAGGTATTTCTAGAAATCTTAGTAATTGTTTGTCTCCATTGAGGGGAGATGAGTTCAGGGGAGGGCTTTTCTTAGCCCCGTTACTTGATGCCTGATGAGTCACTGAGTTAAGATAGTGTCTGACAAACAGGGTGTGCTCCTGTGGCTCCAGGGAAGGCTTCTGAGAAGCCCCCAAGTCAAACTCCTCAGCTGGGAGGATGGAAATGGACCACACACACACGGACCAAAACAGCGTTGTCCTCATGTATAGGATAGGCTGGATGTGGTCCCCAGGGCTGCTGGGGAGGTGCCTTCTTCAGGCCTTGCTCCACCCCCAGGGATTTAGGACCCAGGGTTAAGGGGTAACAGCAGAGGGGTTAAGGGATGCCAGCAGCCCACTAGCTAGTACACAGCCAAGGTGGGGTCGGGGGCTTGTGGCTGCCACACTGGGTAGCTAATCCTCGCTCACCTCTAAGAACAGCGCTTATAACTACTTCTTTGCTGTTAAGATCCCTTCTAGAAGGCAGGGCTCTCAACTGTAACTGACCAGTGCCACGGGAGATCCACCCATAGCCAGTTACATGCCACTCAGTGACATGGGAATGGAGATGAGGTCTGGTTCTGATACGCCTGCTCCTCGCATGTTATGTCTGCATCCCCAAGAGAAGATTGAAAGGAAGAGGCGGGTTGTTTGAACCTCTTGCTTCCATGCCACCCTCCTCTACCTACTTGGCCTGCCTCCGCCCCCCACCCACCTTGGGTCATCTACCATTGCCTTTGGGAACCGACTCTTCAAACTAGGGTGTCTCCAGGTGCAGCTGCCCTTTATTAAGGACCGTCTCGAGTCCTCTCGCTCCAGGCTGAGGAAGAAAGATCATGTATGTCCTCAGTTACCCGATTTCTATTTCTGTCAATTTCTCCTATTTTCTATTGCTATAACAAAGTACCACAAAACTAGTGGCTTAAAACAGCACAGATTATATTGACTTATAGTTCTGTAGTTCAGAAGTCCAACATGGGTCTCTTGGACTAAAACCAGGGTATCAGGAGGATTGGTTTCTTCTGGAGGCTCTAAGGGCAGAATCCATGTCCTTGCCTTTTCCAGCTTCTAGAGGCCACCTACGTTCCTTGGCTTGTGGCACCTTCCTCTTCAGAGCCAGCAACAGCAGGTTGAGTTCCTCTCACCTCAAATCTTTCCGACCTTCCACCACCTCCTTCCACTTGGAAGTGCCCTTATGACGACACTGGGCCCCGCTCTGCATACTCCAGGGTACTCTCCTTGTCTCGGAGGCAGCTGACCAGCAGCCTTAATTCCATTTGCAGCCTTGGTTCCCCTGTGCCCTGTTATCTAACACATTTAAAGGTTCCGGGGGTTAAGACATGGCGTTCTCAGTGGGGCCATCATTCTACCTACCACACCCGTTAACCGGCCCATCCACTTGAGGTAATAATTCCATGTAGGCCCCACAGTTCTCTTAGGTAAATGAAGAAGAGGGGCTTGTTTTCTAGGTGCTTCCATGGTCTCTAGAAGAAAAGGTGAACTTGCTAACAAGAACATGGGACTTGGGGAATGCCACACAGCCCTGAGGGGTGAGACAGGGACCAGGTGATTCATGGTATCTGCAGTTTGGTGACCAAGCTGCCTTTCATCCATGCGGAAGCCCTGAAAACAAGCTCTGTGTTCCAAGGACACCAGTGGTTTGTGGGCTTTCCTTCCCATCCCTGTCCTGATGCTCCCTTCCGGAAGCTTCTCTAG